AGCTAACCAATAAATAGTAAATTACAAGAGCTTCAAGACTCACTCGTCAATACAATATCAAATGAAGCTTAGAGATAGCAGCATTTTATCATATCTGAAATTCCTGCAGAGCCGGTTTAATATTTCTCGGGAACAATTTTGCTATCTTGTTACAATATGTTGCCCTCCACCAGCACGCGGTATACCACAATGCTTCGCTAAAATTCCTATACTCGTGCAAGCGTGAACGAATGTTTCCCAGTTTTATTGCGAATAGATTCACTCAGTTACCCTATCAAAACAATCGCGACGTCCAGTCAAATATATTGAACCTGAAGACTGCTCTTCTCAATGCGGCAATAGCTGAACGTCGTCGTCAGAAGTCATTCTGCATACGCGGGATAACCGTCCATCGAAATAGACTACGTTCAGAATTATCACCAGAACTATGGCAAAGAATGTCTTCAGAAAACCAGAGAATATGTTCTCGACTGCGTGAAGACCAAAATCGTCATTTTGATAGAAAACTCAATCTGTTGCGATCACATCCACGAACTTACCAACAACCACGGTGGTTTGAAGGAAATATTATCCCACCGACACGACATGTGGTCATTGGAACAAATGAAGTTGATAGTGATATGGCAGCCGTCCTCAATCTTGGACCATCATTTGCAATAACACCGAGGGTAAACACTACAGTAATCGACTCAGCGCTTTGTGGAATCTATCAATTTGCGTATCAACTACGTTGGAGAACACATCGTGGACCAACCGTACTCGATCAACATGATACGCTGATGTCGCTGATGCCTTTCAAAGGAAAATTCATACAAATACCCCCATCGTCGACTGACCTTGATGCTAGAATAGCTGATCTGGAGCATAACATTCAACGCATTTATCGAAACGCGATGGATGAGCCTTACCATAGTAATTTAACATCGGCTGAACGAAGAGGAGTAAAGAAAATACTACAGTCGAAAAGAACATTGAGGTACACAGTTGGAGACAAATGCGGTTCCTTTGTTGTGATGCCCCAAAGTTTGGATAAGGCCTTAACCGCCAACGTTCTCTCAGATACAAGTGTGTATGAGGAAACTACTCCGTCAGCGTTCGAAATAGCATGGAAGAAAGTGAAAAGTGTCATTACGTCGATAGTGAAGAAGCGTATGAGTTCGGAAATGGCGAAGCGATTGCATGGTATGGTACCAACAGTGCCAACGCTCTACAATTTGGTGAAGACGCACAAAATCCCATCAACGGCGGACACAGTGTCACTTCAACTCAGTGAAATCAAAACGAGACCCATATCGCATCATGTGGTGGTCCAGCGGATAGGCTGAGTTGGCTCCTAGTTCAGCTCCTTTCACCACTGTTGCGGTATGTGGGAGCACACATTGTCAACGTCGACGAATTTATTTCAGCACTTCACCGATGTTCAGTTCCGACGACAGCTTTCTATGCGAGTTTTGATGTAGTGTCCTTATATACAAACGTTAACAACGCGGACGCAGTACAAGCTGTTTTATCCCTTCTGGAAGAAAACCGCAGCCAGGTTTCCATGATGGGATTTTCTGCACACGAAATAAAGGACCTCATCGAAGCGGCACTGGAATGCAATATTTTCCGCTTTGACAACAAATTTTACAAACAGAAACGAGGCTTAGCTATGGGTAACCGCATAGCACCAGTGTTAGCAGTAATCTATTTGGACCACATCGAAAAGACATCATTAACAAGTGGAATTATTTTCTACAAACGTTACATTGATGACGTGTTTGTTATTGGTTCTACAGAAGAAGACCTTGTGGAGACATTAGAGAGACTGAATGCACAGGATGCGAACATATCCTTTACTAGAGAAGACCCAGGAACTGATGGTTTCTTGCCGTTCCTTAACACGAAAGTGAGGATATGTGAAGGTCACAAGGAACATCTATGGTATAAGAAAAGTGCCTCGTCGAACATATTGTTGCATTCGAGAAGTGCTCATCCGATATATATGAAAGCGAATGTCGTGAAAAATCTAGTAAGAACAAAGGAAAAGCTTGGGACGCGAAGGGACCCAGCCGTCAACGCGAAAGTTGAAAGCATTCTTGAAAGTAATGGCTACGTGGAAGGAAATATTGAGACCTGGGTCCCACATAGATCACCGGACGGAATAAATCTTGTAGTACCATTTGTCAGCGACAAACTGGCTCGTGAGATAAACCGTGCGGTGAGAAATTCTCAGCTTCCAATTCGACTGGTCTTCCGCCCTCCCCCTACACTTAAGGATCTTTTCACTTCATCGCGGATCTACGAAAGTCGGTGTCACGAAGAATCTTGTCGGTATTGTACGTCGGAAAAGATTTGTGACTCCAAGACACGTCTATCTCGTATAATGTCTGAGATCCCTGATCTTGGAGAGAAATACTTGGGGGAGACGGCAAGACCACTGAAGGTTCGACTAGACGAACATAGAAGAGCCTTGGCCAACCCCGCTGCCTATCCTCGCAGCAGTTTTTCCAGACACCGCACATTGAAGCATGAGAGAGAGGACGCCCCGTCCTTTGACGTGAGCGTTCTTCACAGACATTTGGTGCGGCCGCTGGAAAGGAAAATCATGGAGGCGCGGGAAATACATCGTATAAAGCCAGAAATCAACGCGAAAGAGGAGCTACGTGACCTTCTGAGGCTTCTTTCGTGATCACCTAAGTCCTTTGCCTCGGGGTTGGTGCTTTCATTTCCCACTCCTGCCAGACCCTGAAAGGTCCCACTACTCTCCTTCTCTCGCTGGTATGTATTGATGTATAGTGTTTTTGTAATGTAACTAGTTGATCATGTGCAATTGTTGTAATTTTAAGGTCTGATGATGGCATTAATGCCGAAAGCTAACCAATAAATAGTAAATTACAAGAGCTTCAAGACTCACTCGTCAATACAATATCAAATGAAGCTTAGAGATAGCAGTATTTTATCATATCCGAAATGAGAGTATAAAGTTTGAATTTATCAGAGATAGGGCGAAGTGAACAACATAGGGAGAAAATTTATGGAGCTGGGATACTTTTTGAGATCTGGTTTCCTCTTAACGTGTCCTTCATCAGGTGTTCATATTTTGTCGCTTCGTGCACAATCCGCACTTTTGTGAATGAGTTCCCGTTCCAGTGCATGATACTAATTCGGGAGTGATTCGTGAAGCGTGCACTATCGGAGATTGTCCTCGATCCTCACTGAGGCTTAGTGTCACGTTCGTTTCCGTCACAAAAGTGCCGACCTATTTCCTTCCCTTCAAATACTCACTGCAACCGCTGCAGATCAGTTCTGCCTCCATGATTCTGCTGCTCTTCATTGTTGCGAGCGCCCAGGCGGTTAGTTATATTTTAGAGAAAACATTTCCTACAAATACTATGTACCGTTTAGTTGCCGTACTATTCTCCTTATCCACAAGTGAGTTCTGACTCAGTGGATGCCACCAAAACTGTGGGAGCGTCTCTTTCCGTCATAGAGCCTAAAAACGGTTAGTGATATTTCACTGATAATTTTAGCGCTAAATTGCTGCTAAATTGCTATCCAAGGTTGGAGAGGAGTTGGAGTTGCGGTCCCGGATGTATAGGATCTGAGGATCCTTGAAATGTGATATACTTTTAAACAGTCCATTTTCTGTTGTCTCGATAATTAGTGTCCATTTCACTCTAGCTGACTATTATTATCTACTATTATCATATTTTTCTAAGAGATTCTGTTTTTGTTCATCTAATTGCTCTCTCCTATATTCTGATTTTTTTTCATCACGTTAGCTGTTAGCCTTAGGAACTTTTTTTTAAGCCTGCCCTATTTCCAGCACATGCAGTATCTGTCATCTATACAGGGTGGTCCAAAATTATGAGGACCGCGTGCGCGCGCGGTCATATCCACTTTTTTCCGAGTCGCTCCATTTTCATCTCCTTTTCTGTGCACTATGTGAAGGGTACAATGTCTTCTTCCTAATGAAACCAAATTTCATGCAGTTCTCAAAACTAGTGAAATAACAACATCACCTTACGTCAGTCCTCAAATTGAACTCACTAGGGGCTCTGGCACGTTACATCTAGCGGCAGTCTAACGTATCAGGGAAGCTCTTATGGGCAACAGTTCAACTCTTCAATAAGTTTGGAACCACCACAGATGGAAAATTCGGGACTCGAAAGTTACAGTTACCACCAGGATAATTATCAGATGCAGAAACTAGGTCTCCCCTTGTCGACTTTCGTACTCCCAAAATGAAAAAATTGATGTGAAAACCCAGCCAGACACTCTAAAGACTCCACATCTGTAGTGGATAGAAAGCCACTCGAGTAGTCTACTTGGGACTTTTACAGGACCGAGAATAAGCAAAAATTCTCCAAAAAGCTTAATAA